ACTTACAGCATGCCTTGGCGTGTCTAGTTGGTAGTGTGGACAAACCCGCGCCCTAAGATACAAGAAATAAACTGCCGACATTGTTAACATTTAATTCAACTTCTGGAAAACAGGGCACACGGCTGATAATGTTTTGATGAAAGCCTCAAAATTCGGCGTCAGTTTGGTGTGTTGGACTAGATTTAGAGAGTCCGTGCTTCTCACTTGGAAAACTGAAAGGGGCCAGCTCGTGTGCTGGAAAACCTCTGATTTATTCGTGTACCAGGTGGAAATTTAAAATAAAAAATTAGAGCGACCCTTGATTTCCATATATATCTATCTATATCTACATCTACATCTACATCTACATCTACATCTACATCTACATCTACATCTACATCTACATCTACATCTACATCTACATCTACATCTACATCTACATCTACATCTACATCTACATCTACATCTACATCTACATCTACATCTACATCTACATCTACATCTACATCTACATCTACATCTACATCTACATCTACATCTACATCTACATCTACATCTACATCTACATCTACATCTACATCTACATCTACATCTACATCTACATCTACATCTACATCTACATCTACATCTACATCTACATCTACATCTACATCTACATCTACATCTACATCTACATCTACATCTACATCTACATCTACATCTACATCTACATCTACATCTACATCTACATCTACATCTACATCTACATCTACATCTATATCTATATCTATATCTATATCTGTATCTACATCTATATCTATATCTATATCTATATCTATATCTGTATCTATATCTATATCTATATCTATATCTATATCTATATCTATATCTATATCTATATCTATATCTATATCTATATCTATATCTATATCTATATCTATATCTATATCTATATCTATATCTATATCTATATCTATATCTATATCTATATCTATATCTATATCTATATCTATATCTATATCTATATCTATATCTATATCTATATCTATATCTGTATCTATATCTGTATCTATATCTATATCTATATCTATATCTATATCTATATCTATATCTATATCTATATCTATATCTATATCTATATCTATATCTATATCTATATCTATATCTATATCTATATCTATATCTATATCTATATCTATATCTATATCTATATCTATATCTATATCTATATCTATATCTATATCTATATCTATATCTATATCTATATCTATATCTATATCTATATCTATATCTATATCTATATCTATATCTATATCTATATCTATATCTATATCTATATCTATATCTATATCTATATCTATATCTATATCTATATCTATATCTATATCTATATCTATATCTATATCTATATCTATATCTATATCTATATCTATATCTATATCTATATCTATATCTATATCTATATCTATATCTATATCTATATCTACTCTCCATACATACTCACAGTGGCGGGGGGGGCCTTTTTTTCTAGTTCCGCCACTGTGAGTATGTATGGAGAGTGAGAGAGGGGGAGGTTCGGCGTGCGTCTACGTCTTGTCCCGAATGGACCCCATGAAGAGAATTATATACGTAGATGTTTATTATACAAAATGGGATGAAATCCACTTAAACCTACTTTATTTTCGACTATACTACTATATGTTATAATTTTCACCCTCATTATTGGTAAAATGTTCTAAACGACCTTGTGACCACTAACCTAATTACTTTAAACCCATTTTATGTATTTATTTTCTGATTTATCAATTAATTTATTATACCATATGCATCACTCTAACTACCTTGTTAATATCCCCCCAAACGACATGTTATGTTACTGCAATTACAAATCAATAGACTTTTTCTCCGGGGGGGGGGGGGGGGGGGGGGTTCACTTGATATTTTTGGGGGGCGGTCAACATTTTCCGGGGGAAAGTATGTTTTTACTATATAAATTCTCCTCGTTCTGGGGAAGGGGGAGCGGTAGACTTTCTTCGGGGGAGGGGGTGGGAGGCAGAGCCCCTTCACCCCGAAGAAAAGCCTAGAATAAACTCTGGACGCAATTCCACAAGCAACAGTATACCAACAGTATACATCTCAGTGCCATACCAAGCCGTCATACAACGGTAAGTACTCCCAGTTCTTTGGAAAAAAAAATGTATGCAGGGCCAGGTAGAGAGCTAGGTCCGCTCCCATCCTTTGATACTACAGCTGCACTTTAAACACACAAGCATAAACTTTTATTTTGTTGATGTATTCAGATCTTAATATCGTATTATATGGGAGCTACTCGATCTTTAATCTAGCTGCTTTGTTCCCGAAAGGGAAGCTATCAACTAATTGCAGAGTCAGGCAGAAAGCCAGGACTGTCTCCCTGTCTCTCCTATTACACCATTTATTACATTCCCGATGTTTCTCAATGTTTTCTGCGATGCCTAACTTGAAGTGTTTATGTTGATTTTTAAAATAAAAAAAAGACTGTTGTAGGTAGTAGTTGTAAATGAACTGGGCGCATGATACTTCTTCTATTTCGACAAAATAAAAATTTACATTATAATTATTGTCCCGTCCTTCAAAAATGCATGCTCTATTTCAGAAAAATCCCAAACTCTACATGAACTAGACCAACATTGTACACACATAGCCTTTCTGTGTATTCCCTCCTCCTTACCGCCCCACACTCTCCCATAAAAACCCATTTCGCTATGTTTTCTTTTTCTTCCAGGAAAAACAATGTCCTCCAGTAAACATAATTTAAAACTCCACAACACCCATAATACTATGTATTTTTATGTATATTTATGTACGAAAGATTAAAGGATAGCTGATAACTGTGAACCTACACCAGTCTTCATATGTCGAATGATGAACAAAGTAATGTAACAGCGGATGCCTCTGAGGCAACGTCAAGGCTCGCCGATAAAGAAAAGTCTTGGACATAAAACATAAATTAAAAAATGCCATATATGCAATTATAACACGCTTACTTGAGGCCCGAAATGAGTTTGTAAATAATTTTGTCTGGTTTGTTGTCTCAGAGTGGTTATACATCGCAATGAAATAGTTTAAATTACTCAGGAAATAGACAAATTCAAATTTATTGAAGCAAACTACAATTTTTGTTTGTTTACGAGAATAATATAATTTAAACAATTTTTTCACTTTGCCAATTGTAGAACATTATGCTTCTCTTACTTAATCGGTTATTCACTGCTAGCCAATAATACCCCTCCCCTAAAATGTATTACTCAAGTTCTGTAATTACTGTCCCATCTTATAAATGTCATAATATTACCAAACCTATCCATCTCCTATTCATAACCCTAAGCTTTACCTATCCTAAGCCTATTGTATTCATTGTCATATCATTGTGCCCGACAGATGGCAAGAGTTATGACGTAAGATAACAGTTTCAATGGCAAGATGCGAGCGGTCGTTCAGAAAGTTGACACTTATTTTTTCGCATTTACGTGCGTCAACCGGTCAAGATCGTCTCAGTGATCTTGCTCTTCTTGCCGTTGAAAGAGAAACATTGGGAGAACAAATTTTGATTGCGTAATTGACCAGTTTGCGACAGTGAAATCAAGAAAAATACATCTTTTTTGAAAATGTCAATCAGTATACGACATTGACTGAGTGGATCATGTAGTATAATTTCTATAAATTTGCTTCTTTAAATACAATATTGTCTTAACATTTAATTTTTTACTTTCTCGTATATACGTAGTATAGAGAAAGTATTGTAATCGTGCAAAAAAAAAAATCGAGATTTTTACAAATCTCGACGTTTTACACCTCACTGATACGGAAAAACATAATTTTGCAATCTTGTCCGTATGTCTGTGTGTGTGTGTGTGTCTGTCTGTGTGTGTGTCTGTCCGTGTGTAAACACGATAACTTGAGTACCGTTACAGCTAGGTTGATGAAATTTCATATATAAGTATTTTATCAAAATCGTAGATCCGTATCAACTTTTGAGCGATTTCCGATAACCGGAAGTGGTACTTTTCCTACTTTGAATTTTTTAAAAGCCTATAACTTGAGTACTATTTCAGATAGATAAATGAAATTTCACATGTAAGTAAAAGATCTAATTCTCTACCTACTGTAAAATTTTGAGTAATTTCCGTTGACTGGAAGTAGTAATTTACGCTACTTCCGATTTCTCAAAAAACTAATGTAAATTTTAAAAGTACTAATAATATTGCGCACTATTATGCGCTTTTTTTTATTTGCGTTCACTTGGTGTGCAATTAATTTGTCTACGAGATTTTATTCTATTTTTAAAACTTTAAGTATTTAAAATGGATTAAAAATCATGTCTATAGCCCGAGTTTCCATCCCCTGTTATTTTATATAAGAATATTCGAGAAAGTTTAGGGGAGATCACTCCCGGTTTATTTTTTTACTTATTTATAGAAATAGAAAAATGTGTTCATCGGGGTTTGGGCTGGGACGACAATTGAATAGTTCGTCCCCTGGCGTAAAATATCATAGCTACACGTCTTCGTTTCTTGCTGGTCACAGTTGCTTAAATGCATTTCTTTTGCTGTTACAAGGTCAAGGTAGAAAACATTTAAATCAGTACGTAAAGGATCGTAGCCGTAACATTTCTTGACTTTGTTTATAATTGAAAACTGCAGCTATAATGAGCTTTTAATTTTTTCTTAACCCATTTTGGTGTCAATCGTGTTGGCGCCCGGGGACATATGTACCCATACCACCCCGCTCTACACCTCTGCGTGTCAGTTTTACAGAAAATCCTGTAACAACTGACATTGCATTTAGATAAACAGTTTGCCTAAAGTAAAACGGTACTTAGGTATTCGAATAACTCTACATGATTTAAAAGTTAGGGGCATTATAAACTCGTGTGTGTGGTAAGTCTATATTAACTTGTGTTTTAGGCACACATAATCAAACTTAATAACCAATATATTTTTTTTTTCATACGTGTTGTTATGCCAAATTTTAAAGAGGTTCTAGATCAGTGATGTTCTTACTAATTTTGTTAGCTGATAAATGACGTCATTCCCTATCCAGAAGTCTCCAGATGTTGAGCCAAATCCGTTTTTATAATCGTTCCAGATTCTTGTAAAGTTCACATCACCTTTCACACGTCGCTGTTGATAAAAATAATAGTAAAATTTCAAATATATGTTTTAGTGTGCTGTATATTATCAAGCGCAAAAAAATTACAAAATGATACATTTATATTTTGAAATGTACTGTACAGAAGATACATCTTTATTTAATTTTTAACACAATCATAATTAGATTTATCGGGGTCGGCGTGGTCGAGTCGGTAAAGCTCATGGTTGCTAAACCGAAAAGTCTCGAGTTCGAACCCTCGGGCAGATGAGGCTCATTAGCTGGGGACAGCCACTCTTCTAGCAGAGACAACTCCAAAATCAAACAACTGCTGCCTTGTAGTTTGTTCTTGGTTGGAAAAAGGCTATGGAAGCAAATCCAAAAAGAAAAACAGGCTGAAATCGGAGTGAATAGCCTCAATGGCGCATAACCAGTTGACACTTAATCCTTAATTGTGAAGGAAGCATGGTCAAGTCAGCAAAGCTCATGGTTGATAAATTCGAAAAAAGTCTCGATAATTAGATTTATCGGACTAAGAATAATCTACACCTTTAAAAGAATGTTCTCAAAAGGGCACAAATAATCCATTAACACAGGTTAAAGATAAACTAAAACCTTTCAGGCGATTGTGTTTTATATGCAAATTATACACAATTGGATTAATTCATTTGCAGATAGCTAATTTAATGTACAATATCAATTCATGCAATATAGGGTTAAAATCAATATTTCAAAATGAAAACGTTCAAGGAAAATTGATTATAATGATTTTACATCTAGCCTTTTCATTTTGTTTCTATCTTACACACACTTTGTGTTTAATCTAATGTTCAAATAATATTTACCACATATTACTTTTTTTAAAAAATCCAGCCTGCTAAAATCTTTTATTTAACAAATTACACACAAGCTCAAAAGAAAGTTAATACTTGAATGATAATCCATCCACCACCGTCAGTCTTCATATCACATGCAGTTCGATTAGGTTCGAGTGTAACAGCCTTTCTGATTTGTACATCTTGAAGGAGAAAAAGTCTACACCCTAACTGTGAATAAAATATAAATAAAATATTACTAAAAGTATCTAGGCATAAAAAAGTGTGCTAATGGACTGGATATAATTACATCTAAAAAAGTAAAAACAACATTTTGTTTTTTCATGTATTGTTTCTTAAGATATTATATATGGTAACCAGAAAGATGCGCAACGGAAAAAATGAGCACACAGAAAAATGTGCAAACAAAACTTTGCTGAAAAGTACGCAACCAGAAAATGCTCAAACATAAACACTTCCGTGATTTTTTGACGGTGTGCGACGAGGAGTAGGGGGAGGGGGGTTCAGGTGGTGTGACGTCACACTTTCGCATATATATATATATATATATATATATATATACATCATTCTAAAAGTGAGTTATTTAAATGTAAACAATGCCTGCGCTTGGATCATAAATATCGGGACACGGGTTTACCTACACTACCGCATGAAAACATTGAGTGTACATTAATCACTCACCGAAATAAAATGGTAGAACACAATTCGGTGACCGCCCATGTGCCAGAGACGTAGAGGGGCGCTCTCAGCCCCCCCCCCCCCCGATTACACTACCGCATAGGCGCGGCGTACGACCCCTGGCTCCTTAAAACTAACAGGCGCCATTGTGCTAAATAGCATCCTGTTAATAATGATGCAGATTTCGTCATTCGCTAAAGTGACACAAACGAACAGGATTTTTTTCTTTAACACGTAAAAAAAGTATTTGACGTGTTTTAAACATCAGTGTGACTGTTGCAATATGCTAGCGTTACTAATGGTCTATTATTAGATGCTCGCTCTCAATTTCTGACTGGATTGTCTAATAATAGATTCTTATTGCATCATTCGCAAAGTGACGAAACTCTACAGTAGGCTCCTCATATTCAAAAAGTTATTTTTTCATCTTTCGCAAGGTGACGAAACTGTACAGAAGGATTTCCTCGCGTTATAAAGTAATTTTTTGAAGCATGTTGTAGTTTTACCGCTGAATATAGTAGTACCCCTTACTCGCTATGCAGGACGATCGATTTACGGATGCCAAGTTCCAACATAGTCGCTCTAAAACTTTGGGCGCCAAACCGTGTATTGACGAAAGTTGTATCCTATTTGGCGCCGCCCATAAGAAACTATAGTTTTCTTTTTCGCAGAATTATTCTCGGGAGTATTCTCATCTACTCCCTAAAGTTTCATGGCACTCGGATGAACCGCATATATACCGTGTACAAAAAAAAAATCGCTTCCTCCCCCCGGGGGGCGCCGCCCTTGCAATATTAAACAATATTTTTTTTGCAGAACCCTACCCCTGAGTGATCTAATCATCTACCCAAAGTTTCATGGTACACGGATGAACGGTGTGAAACCGAAGTAGACTTTTTTTTATAAACCGTATACAGAGAAAAATTGCAGCCTCCCGTGGCGCCGCCCATGCGAAATTAAAAAAGGATATTTTTTTTACAGAACCCTTCCCTGAATTGTTCTAATCAACTCCCCCAAAGTCTCATGGCTATTAGATAACGGTGTCACACCAAAATCGACTTTTATTTTTTTATACCGTATATAGAGAAAAATCGCACCCTCCCGTGGCGCCGCCCTTGCGAATTAAAAATGTTTGTTTTTACAGAACCCTTCCTTTGAGTTTTATAATGAACTCACCAAAGTTTTATGCTTATCGGATGAACTGTGTCACTGCAATTCACTTTTATTATTTTATATACCGTATATTGATAAAAATCGGACCCTTCCGTGGCGCCGCCCTTGCAAAATTAAAATTTATGTTTTTACAGAACCCTTCCTGTGAGGGTTGTCTGAATCTCAAAAGAAAGCACAACACGATACTATTTCAGTATTCTTTATTTCACTATCTCCCGTCCTACAGTCACAAAATCCACCTTGCTTTGACACTCAACCTTCAACTGTCCCCCGCACTCATTCCTACACACCACCTTTCTCTCACTCACAACACAGCCACTGTCACCCGACCAGTCGCTTCCCTTGTACCCTCGTTCACTCCGTACAACAACATACACGTCAACACACCCGGCCTCGCTTCTCACTACATGATACATACACACACGCAGTGATCCGTCCCACGTATTCACCTTTCATACACATTACATCACCACATACCCTCCATCTGTCCCTAGCTGATGCAATCCGCGGAATTAACAAAAAATATAAGAAAACCAATAACTCAACACAATATGTATATATACATAACTATGATGTTAACAGCCGCAATAGGACTGTTACGTGATCTCTCCACTGACTTTCCGTAAGTCTGTAGTACACAGAATAGACGCACCATATCAAACTTGTACTCTGTAAAATACACCTAGTACAAAGAATTGGGCATCATGTACATATTATATTCCAGAGAATAGCAACATAGTAACCCTGTATAGAACATTTGAAATATGTTAAAACCTCACACACAAACGACAACCGATCGTTGACTCGGCACCACCCGTAGCATACTTTTGTTGGGTACAATCCACCTTCAGTCTCTGCAGGAACATCATCATTTACATTTCTGGTATATAACAATTAACAATAAACACAGTAAACATACATACGAAAGAAACTTAACAAAAGGATACCGGTACTTGTTTTTAACTTTGGATACAACGTCGATTTTTCTCTCCTTCGGTACCACTTGTCGAAAGACGCCATGCTACATAATGTATATTGTAAAACAAATGTCTTACACGTGTGTTGTCTCACCGCCGTCTCGTTGTGTACTCCATCCCAGACTGTGACCAGATCAAATCTCACCTTACCGCTGCATTAGAATGATAGTTTTGTGGTATTGTCTCTCTCCCGATATCATTCCCGATGATTGCGTCGAATGATCCCCGTTCGAACACTAAGGCTCGGACTTGTCCCGTCACATACGGTGATTTAATGTTTATCAGTGCTATCGGTAGGCGTACGACCGTGCCACCAAACACCTCTACCATTTTCCATTCACCCGTGTATTGGTGCTGTTCGACGTAGCTACTTTTTACAGCAATAGTAGAGCAACCCGTATCTCTCAATGCCTCTACCCTATGAGCTCCCGCATTCACCATTAGTGTTGGTATTTTCGATGCGATCTGTAGTAACGGTGCTTGTTCTACTCCCTCATTATCTGGGCTACTGTTGTGGTGGTTGTAATAATTGTTATATATGAGAGGTGTAGTAATGCATAAAGGACAGAAGACAGACACACACACACAAACATACATTGCTTTATATATATATATATATATATATATATATATATATATATATATATATATATATATATGTATATATATATATATATATATATATATATATATATATATATATATATATATATATATATATATATATATATATATATATATATATATATATATATATGTATATAAGAAAAAGAAAAATATAAAAAAGAAAATATAAAACTTACGCCATCCATCTCTTGGAGTAGCTCACCATGCTCGTAAGTTTTTTTATAAATCTTTTGAACTGTGTTGTTAATATTTTCCACACTTTGTTTTAACTCGAGGTTTGTATTATTAAACTTAAACATAGCCAATTTAAAATCCTTGTCTGTATTGTTAAGATTTGATACAGCAGACATTAAGATATTGTCTGTATTGTTAAGCTGTGATACTGCCAACATTAAATCCTTGTCTTTATTATTAAGTTTTGATACTGTCAACATTAAATCCTTGTCTGTATTGTTAAGCTTTGATACAGCAGACATTAAATCCTTGTCTATATTGTTTAGCTGTGATACTGCCAATATTAAATCCGTGTCTGTATTGTTAAGCTTTGATACAGCAGACATTAAGATCTTGTCTGTACTGTTTAGCTGTGATACTTTCATCATTAAATCCTTGTCTTTATTATTAAGTTTTGATACTGTCAACATTAAATCCTTGTCTGTATTGTTAAGCTTTGATACAGCAGACATTAAGATCTTGTCTGTACTGTTTAGCTGTGATACTTTCATCATTAAATCCTTGTCTGTATTGTTAAGCTTTGATACAGCAGACATTAAGATATTGTCTGTATTGTTAAGCTGTGATACTGCCAACATTAAATCCTTGTCTTTATTATTAAGTTTTGATACTGTCAACATTAAATCCTTGTCTGTATTGTTAAGCTTTGATACTGCCAATATTAAATCCATGTCTGTATTGTTAAGCTTTGATACAGCAGACATTAAGATCTTGTCTGTATTGTTTAGCTGTGATACTTTCAACATTAAATCCTTGTCTCTATTGTTAAGCTTTGATACTGCTAACATTAAATCATTGTGTGTATTGTTCAGCTTTGAGACTCCCATCATTAAATCCTTATCTGTATTGTTTAGCCGTGATACTTTCAACATTAAATCCTTGTCTCTATTGTTAATCTGTGTTACTGCCAATATTAAATCAGTGTGTGTATTGTTAAGCTGTGATACTTTGAACATTAAATCCGTGTCTGTATTTTTAAGCTTTAATACAGCAGACATTAAACTTTTGACTGTATTGTTAAGCTTTGATACTGCAAATATTAAATCCTGGTCTGTTTTAATAAGATTTGATACATCTAATAACCTAAGCAAATCGTTTAGCTTGTTGTTTAATTTCTCTATTTTAGCATCTTGATCAAAATATGTTTTATTAAGTAGTTTTTCGACCATTTCTGTAACATTAGCTAATATCATGTCTCTATGTTCTATATGTAACTCTTTTCCATGATATATTTGATTAGAACGATTTCCGATTGTTAAAAACTGTAAATTCATCTTCAAGTCAGCACTGTTTAGATGATCAGAATCATGAAATGTTTTTAGAAACTCTGACATTCTATCAATTGTTCTATCAAACTCTGGAGTTTTAGCCTCTAAGGTCATCAACATCAGCGGGTTACGATTGTCTTGGTCAACAGGTTTGGTTTTATTTTCTTTCATCTCAACGAGACCCCTTCTATTTGTGTAATACACATCACATCCAAACACTGTACTAAAACAATCAGCAGGTTTTGTAAACGATACAGTCAGCTCTCCAAAAACCTTTGAAAACTTTCCATCAACTTTTGATCCAGTTACTTTATAATCTCGAACACTTGAATCTGATTCTGATACAGACGCCAACACAATCTTCCCCTCTAATTCACTGATCCTATAGACTGACATGTTGACAAGAGTTGAGATTTCATTTTCTCCTCTTGTGTTATCCATACAATGTAAGTTGGCGCAGAATAAAACTTTACCCTCCATATAATATTCTCTATGTAGTGAAATGTCAAGTCCTGAAATGTAAAAAAAAAATGTACTAAAATAAAGCAATGGAATCGGACAAATTAAATTATTTAAGAAATAGCTTTTTAATACACTTTCAGCACAACAACTTCCAAATAGTTACATCTATTTCAATTCGTTCGTGGTACATTTTTTCCAATGAAGTCTATTAATTGTAACAAAAATTAAATTTACAAACATGTAAATGGTATTTGATACAATAAATTGTATTATTATTATCGGGGGGGGGGGGGGGGGGGGCGGGAGGGGGGGGGGGAGGTAAATTAATATTCAATATGTGTTAGCGTATTTAAATTACTAGGACAAAGCCAGTGACTGAAAACACTTAGGCTTATTGATCCACGTTTGTGTAAACATAATACTTCTTAATTTACATATCACAAAACTAAATAAATAACTATGTATAAGCGTTAACTAGTAGAATGCAAAACAATTCAACTTTAAAAATCTATTATGTTATATTATAATAAAATATCTCAACCGTAAAACAAACGGCAGCCCCCAAAAGTCGTACATGTATACGCTTTTATGTTTAATACAAATTGGATAAAGATTAAAACGCTTTATAATTTGCTAGTGTAGAATTGACTTGTGCTAGGGAACGGCGTAATCGAAAAAAACGGGTAAGATTGCAACTCCAAAACATCCCATTACGGTAAATGATAAAATGATGAGCATTAGCTAGAGAAAGCAACGCATTTCTATTGGATGGACAAAGACTAGCTAAGTTGTTCCGGAAATAAAAGTTGGCTGATGTCGTTGTAAGCAAATCAAATGGTCCAGAACATGAAACAGGCAATAATTAAGTATGTTGCGAGCAATGATGTCGTAAAGTACATTGAAAGTACATTTAAAGGAACAAATCACATGGTCCAGAACAGAAAACAGGCAATAATTAAGTGTGTTGGAGGCAATAACGTCAAAAGTACATTTAAAAACTACTCAGAAGAAAGTGATTGATTGAAACAGGTAACACCAATATTTTTTTGATGATGATGTCAAGAAACAGTTAGGTTTCGTACTCATATATGAGAAAATACGTGTCTTGCTTTAAGCATCCTATCTTAAATTATATTAAATCGGAATATTTAGACATATTTTAAGTTTTTGGTCGGCGTGATTGATTTCAGTTTTAAACCTAACTCAAACTTTGGAACAGAAATGAAGACTTAGCTAATCATTCTATTCTAGTAGGCCCCTACATGTCAATATAAAAAGAAAATAAGAAATGTATTTCCTCTGTCCGTCGACAATTACGTCAACAAGTGAATACTTATATACCGCGGTGCTTGGTCATAAGGTAACAATACTTTTTATTAATAATTAAAAATTTTGACATATTTTTTTTAAACTACATCACTGTCCTCTTTATAAAATAAAACAGTTTTTACATACAAATATACAAATAATAAATACATCTTTTGCCATCTAATTTGTGTTGAAGGTATATACAAATGTACTCACCACAGGTAAACATGATATTTACAACCAACAGAGCCGTCACTAAAACAGCAGACATTGTAGAGTTGTGTAGTTCTGTATCACACGAACTGGAGACTTCTCTAAACCGCTGCTTCTGTTAGCTTGTGAGGATATCACCGTCTATTTATACCAAAATGTTTGGTTTAAAAAAACATATAGGCTAAGACGTGTTGATAACAACTTGTGAGAATTGTGCTTTCACCGAATTTCCACATAAAAAAAACATGCTGACACGTCAGTAAAATTCATGGATCTCACATTTAAAAAAAAAATGACTACATGTTTAGTGCCCTACTATAATTTTAGAAAAGATTTCTAGGTAATTTTTCGTTTTCTTTTTTTGTTTAATTTAGCTTTCAGAGGCATTTTTAAAGGAATACATTATAAGTAATACTGTACTGAATATAATTCGTAATTTTAAATTTTTTGTTGAGCAACTCCTTACTTCAAACTCGCAAATTTCCGTGTTGAGGGCATGTATGTCAACTATCCTTTTATAAAAGTGGGCACTATAACGAAACATGGCGACCAGGGCGGTTTTAAAAAATATAACCAAAATATAACAATCTATACAGAAGAAATTGTTGGCCCTATATATTTAACTTACCTCAAAAACAACAATAGCACTAATGGAATAACTAGTTTAAGATAAATTAATAATCAAACTGCGGATGGATATAAAACAACAAAACAACAAATACAAATTAAACTATTAAAATTTTGTGAATTACTGAAGGTGAATAAACCGACGTCATTTTTTAAAAGAAATACGCATGGGTGTGGTAACTCAGTTTCACACACGTATCACGTGACATGCAACGAATAAAAACAACTCAAGCATCAAGATAAGAGCTCAGCTGTCTACATTATATCACCAGAGTCTTGGCCTTGAGATTTACATAACAGGCATACGAGTGTGAATATGTCAAGGCAACCTTTGACCCTGGAGTATGAATGTATGTCAAACTTTTATTCCCACGAGTTAAAAAGTGGTTCTCAAAATAAAAATAAATAAAAACAAAAATAAATATAAAAATATAACATAAAAAATTGGAAGTCTCAATTGGACTATAATATTACGTTTATTTTATATACTTTATTTTAAACAGATGTGTTTATACCCAAACCAAAAAACAAAAACAAGCACGAGTAAGCTTAGTATTAATATGAAAATAAAATGTTTTTAAAAATTATTATTCATACCGAAATTAACTATGCGTCGCTTAATATTAACACACTAGGCATGCTGCCCAGGGGTTCCCAACCTTTTTTTTACTCTAGAGCACATTCTAAAATATCGGTAGGGTGGCGGGCACCACCTATTTTAAATCGACAAACTCCTTCCAGAGGCGTAGCGACCCTTCCAGTCACCCGGGGACAAAACTTTTGATTTGCACCTGCCCCCCCCCCTCCCCCCCCCCCCCCCCGCGGGAACCCCTGGCTTAGGCTTTCGAAAACACTCTGAATTTGAATGCTTAATTAATTCGCTCATATAAGGCGCCGGTCAGTCGAGGTCAGTTTTGACCCCCTCATCGTAGACTTTTCGGCCAACCGGCCCCCTTGTTCTGTCGCCCCAAGGCAAGATCCTGCCAAATTTGAAGCGCCTGCGGCGCCGGGAAGTGCCCTGTCGGGCACCCGACAACTTAGCTTCATAGATCATCTAGATCTAGAATCTCTAGATAAATATGATCTAGAATCTCTAGATCTAGATGATCTAGAATATCTAGATCTAGATCAATATCTAGAATCTCTAGATCTAGAATCCAAATAGATAAAAAAAAAATTTTAAGTTTAGGCCGAGAAAATCGTATTGTATACATTTCATAGCGTACATAGCTCTAAATCATATTTGAATGAAATAGTTCATTTCTTTTTATTCTAAACTCGGAAGATGACGTCATCAGTTTCGTGCTCTTTTTTAGTGTAAACAATAAGCGACATCATTGTTAAATGCGTTCTTGCCCCAAGTTTAAACACTGTTCCGGTTGCATAAATAATACTGTTTCTATACATTCGAATACGCCTTTATTTTTTATTTTTCTTCTTTAAATAAAATTGTGGTTATACATTTAAAACATCTAACATATTATTTTCAACAAAAGTCCGTATAAAAGTATCCATATATCGCTGCCGATTCTGACGTGATGTCCGGCGAAAATATTTTCCGGACAGACAGAGAGAGAGAGAGAAGAGCGCACACAGCCTTTTATATATTAGGATACTTTCAGTACTAGAGGATAGTAGCGATAACCCAACAAATGTCATTGCAAAGTTGTAGCAAAATTTAGTACCAAGTAAATATGTGTTGCAGAAAAACTTTACAAGATTTTTAAAAATTGAACAAGCGTTCAAACGAAGAAGATGTGTTTTTTTTGTTAAATTTTGTCAGTTTATTAAACGTACTACACATTAGATACAACTTGACTAAAGGGTTATAATTGTATCTTGTATTTCAGAAAGTAAAATAAATATTTTAATCTTCTCTATCTGGAGCATCAAAAATCTCTGTTTTATAAATAATACAGTTATAAACACATCTCGCATGTTAGAAGGCTGAGCAAAATAGATTTTGTGTAGTATGCTATGTTTTCTTTTATTTCTAATATAATTTAATTATGCGTTTAACCTATCTTATATGTTAGCCAGGGGTCTCCAAACTTTTTAGCCCGAGGGCCGCATTACAATAAAAAAAACAGTTCGGGGGCCAGCGTTTTTTCCATGCATCTCTTCGGGCTGGTAGAGCACCCTACCCCACGCCCCTGAAAATGGCTACCTCCCCTTTCCCCACGAAATATAATTTATATAGAAATATAGACATCCACCCCTCCCCCCCCCCCGGAGAAAAAAGTCTGAAAGAAACACAAAAACTTGCTGTTAAATAAATAATACAGTGCAGGAACATAGGTTGTAGAACGTTTTTCTCATTACACATCTACTCCGCTTGTCCAACCAAGCCATTCTTCATGCCATTAATGTTCTTGCTCCATTAACAGGCAGGTAACTGAGGTTAGTCCAATCCAAGTTATAATCAGCAAATGTTGTTTTAACTCATTGAATATACCCTATCCGGTAACAGTGTAATAAAAGCCAGCTCTTGTGTTATGTTTATATCTTCATCCACACCTCTAATGAACACAAGCAGTTGAGAGGTGGAACAGCTGTCCAGCGATTTATCCATTCAGAGTTTATTCCAGGCATCTCTTCGGGGAAGGGGGCTCAGCCCCCCCCCACCCCTGAAGAAAGTCTACAGCCCCCTCCCCCCGTACGAGATGAATTTTTATATAATAAACATACACTTTTACTAGTGTCCGCCCCCCCCCCCCGAAAAATGTTGACCGCCACCCCTCACCCCCTTCCCGGAGAAAAAAAAAGTCTGGAAGAAACACTGCATCCATTGCAATTGAAAAATTGCGAAACTTGCTTGCATTTTTCGCTATTTGAGTCACAATGTTTTCACCAATGTCTGCGACACGGCGGGCAATGGTATCTGCACCCAAAGCTACATTTT